TTCATTTACTTCAAACTCCCACAGCATAATATTATGACAAGATTTATAAATCTAAATAATATTTCCAGAATTACCTCCCTTTGACTTTTTTCTTATATATTCTCTAACTTTCTTATTTCTCCATGGATTTACTTCAAATTCAAAATAAACATTCATCATTAAAACCTACATTTAATTTTTTATATTTTTTTATCTTTGTTACTACAGTACTATATATGTTAATGGTATATTTCAAAATTGTTTTTTATTAAATTTCTTTTTTGTGACTATAAGTTGTATCTTTAAACTTGAAATAATTGTTCTTTGTTACACTCACATCATGTATGACAATGTTCTTAAATCATGCATCTTTATTTCAAGAGTTATCCTCTCTTTAAGAATTTTGCTTAAAAATGTTATATTTTGGTAACAGGGGTGTTTAAAAAATAACTTTAGAGTCTCCTGCAGTCTGTCTGTTCATAAGAACTGTTTCCTGAGATCACTTTTAAAGATTTATTCCAACTAATTTACTTAAAATTGAGAAAAGTTGAAACATTAGTCATACTTATTCATCATGAGAAAATTGGACATTTTGATTTTCTGTTGTATAAACATAATTTCCTTACTGAGCAGGGAAACATAACACATTACAATGGTATAGACAAACTTAGAACTCAAAAGATTGAAGTTCATTCATGTCATTCATTCAATAATAAAATTGAATAGCCAATGGCCCATCATAATGTTGCTGGGGTTCTAACCGATAGGGGACTTATGGATTTCTTGCAATACAATCATATAATTGCCAGTGTTTTTCATTATTTATTTTTACTTGTATGATATTTGTTTAAAATCTCTACTCTTATCAGTTGTGTTGAATAGTTATGAGAGACAGAGTGACGATGTCGGGATTTTCATTTCATGAGCTATCCACTTTCGAAAGACGAGCGGAGATTTTAATTCAAAGATTTCTCTGTTTAACTTTCATGAAATCAGAATGACATGTTTCAAAACTGTACGATTTCAATTATTTTATTTTTATTTTGAATATAAAGACATCACGAATTAACGATTTTAACTTAAGTTTATAGATTCACAATTTAAATTTCAACTTATTGATAAATCATCATAAATGGACGTGTTAAAACTTCACGAATTCGCCATTTCAACCTCGGGACTTAATTACATAAACTTCATAAATTCACTTTTTTAAACCTCCCGTCTGTAACTTAACGAATTTATGATTTAATCTTCATGAATTTACAACCGTGACATCATGTTTCAAACTTTGCAATTTTAATCTCGTGAATTCATGATTTCAATTGAAGAAATTCAACAAAATTTGAAAGCGTATACTGGAGACGCTGTATTCCTTGTCATTCTGTCCGCTCTTGAAAAAGTTACAATGTTATTCTCAAAAGGTGTTTTTACAAACGGTATCGTAAAACATTATACTATGTGGGTGGACCTGTGTCGAAGATTGTGGAGCACTTTTCTTTCTTTTAGGCAACATTTATGTCAGGTTTGGTAATACACGATTACGATACCTTGACGATATTTCTAATTTAAATAATTAATTCTTACTTTGATCAAATGGTGTCTTATATCTATCCAAAAACACTTCAACTGAGCAAAACGAATTAATTAAATATTACATCATTTTTTGGCGATACCTTGACGATATCTTTTATCTAGATTATTAATTCTTACTTTGATCAAATGATGTCTTGTATCTATACAAACACACTTCAACTGAATAAAACGAATTCTTTAAATTTTACGTCGTTTTTGGCATCTTCATATTACAGTCGATAACAAGAAAAGCATTGATGCAAAGCATCAAAGGGCGACGCTAAAAGAATTTGATCCAGGTTTGCACCTAAATACTTAACAAAAGATGTGTACTTTATAGCAGTACCATTACATGTGACCTGGAGGCTAGGCCCAGTTTAAATAGAAACTTAAACCAAAAAGAAAAGACTCTGTCAAAGACAATTTATAGTCAATTAACCAATCTTATAAGACTCATACTTATAATAAAGATTTATTTTACCAGACAAAAGGATTCGTGAGTCATCAGCATATAACCACAGGCACCAGTATCGGACTTGGGAAGAAAAAATATGACTAGATTGATAAAAAAAACTGTGTTCATAAAAATAAAAAAAATGTAAATAATGATCCCCTTTAAAAATATACTTAGAATAATTAACTTAAAGTATATTTTCAATGGGGGTCATTATTTACATTTTATTTTGGTTTTTGACACTTTTGAGATGAACACAGTTGTTTTTATCAATCTGGTCATATTTTTTCTTCCCAGGTCTGATACTCTTGCCTGTGCATATAATAAAAGCTTATTGCTTAGGGTTGCAGACATGTCATTGACATATATTAGACATAAAAGAGGACCTAAAATGAACATCAGGGGGGACACCATAGGTACTCAGAGCAGTAGTAGAATGGGTACCAGCCACATCCACCAGCTGCTGTCTATCAGAGATAAGACTTAACGCATGTAAGAATGTCATTACATATGGCAGATGCTTGAAGTTTCATGAAGAAGAAGAAAAAGAGCTTCTTAATGTACAGTATAGTGTGATCAACTGTATCAATTGCCCTTTGTAGATCTAAAAGTATCATGCAATACTGCCTTTGTCCATTTCAAATTTAATGCAATCTGTTAAATGAATCAAACATGAATTGTGTCAGTTGAAAAACCACTTCTAAACCCTGACTGAAACTGCCTGACCATGACTCGAACCCATGACTTTCAGAAGACCAACTGAGCTATCCGGCCGGCTACACATTTTCTCTTTAATAATGAACAGTTCTAAACCACAACATATTTCCCCACTATATTGATTTGTGTCCTTGAATTTCTTATGTTTACAGAGCATAGTGAATTGAACTTATGCTTATATGCAGTCACAGGATGAGAAAAACTTTCAGCTTGACCAGAACTCGAACCTGTGACCCACAGAATAATGTACCGCAGCTGTAGCGATTAAGCTATCTGGCCACTTACACATTTTCTCCCCTAAATAGTGAGTTCTAAACCGTGACAGATACTTTGAGATTTTTAAATTAACAGATAATTAGTTCTTAATTAATAAATAAGAAAAAAAACTTACATACTCATTGTCTTAATTAAAATAACAATTTATATATTATTGTATACAATAATTATTTTTACTAAAAAGGGCTTAGGCAGTTATTGGTTTTGCCATTATTTATAACAGGTCAATTTTAAAGTGAACATAACTGTGCTAATACATGTACAATATCTATTTTTTGTACAGATAAAAAAACTAACCTTTTTTCTATGATTAGAAATTTTATGAATCCTGATTTGTATTTTGCATCAAGGGCGTAAACATGAAAATGCAACAAACGAACCTCTTTGTGGTAGATTGTATTTTCATGTTTTCATCTGGCGCCCAGTTACTTTTTGTACTATGTTGGTTTTCATGTGGCACAAATCCCCCACTATAAATTTAGTGCACAAATTTATTCAAGGGCAAGTAACAATCTACTCTATGTAAAGTCTGTTGGAGACCTGGAGGTTGAGACCGGTGTCCCTCCATTACAAATAGGTAAGACAGAAGCTGTCCTTTTCAAACTATGCACATGTTATTATGTTAAAATTAGAATAAGTTCTATTCAGAATATGATTTTTTGAGACTTTATTAATTACATTGCTTGATCCAAGTTTAAGAACATTTTCAGTCAATACATGTATTATCATTTATAACTTTAAATGAAAGTCTCATCCCTTTAATAATAATGACATAACTGTAACTCTTTAAATATTATAAGTTTCATCATATCAATACACTAAGATATACATGTATGCACATAACATTAATAATTCCCAGTTTCTACTAAATAAATATGAAATCCTAACAATAACATTAACATGCTTTTGATGACCTTACAACTGGTAAATTTTATACAACAAAAATAGATTGATAAGTAATACCTAAGATAGACAGAAAGAACAAATAATTTAGTAAACATGAGTTACTTCCCCTTAAAATAGAGAAAACCTGAAACCCAAAAGAACACCCTAAACAGCAAAATTATGAAATGTTGCTGGCTCAGTTTTATTAAGCCATGCAAATTACTGGCAAAGTATTCATAAAATAATAGATGGACATGTGACAGCAGTAATTATAGCAGAACATCGGATAGCTTTCAACATCCGGATACTGGTACACTTTGTAAAAACAACCATTCTGCGCAACAGATAAGCGTAATAAGGATGAAATCAATAGGATAATCGTTTACAACAGTTCTATTACCTATCCTTATACTCATTTGCAGGTGAACTTTCTTCTTGTAGGAAATTTTTGAAAATATATAAATGAATGAATGAATGGATACGGCATCAATGTAGACCACAACGATATTCGAAATACGGGTTTTAGTATTGTCAATAAAACTAAGGGACTAGCTGTTAAACTTAACCTGCAATTTCGTTGAAATAATATCACAATACACATGCGTTTTACATAAAGTTATTAAATACAAATATAACAACATATTTGTTTACTTGATTTTTACGAATAAAAATAAAACTGATTAACACAACATGACATTAAATGCTAATAATAACAGCTCCTTCTATAGGCCAAAATAAAAAGCATTCCATAAGAGACGACGCCGCTCACCGGCGTCGCCAACAATATTATTTACTCAAAAATCTGTTATATGAGAGACGACTTGGATTAAGTATAGTCAAATATCCATAGTTAGATTGAAATGTACTCCATGCAACAGCTAACGGGGTATATGTTTCTCAATTAATTAGATTCGCCAGGATATGTAGCCTTAAAGAGGATTTTAAGGAACGAAACATATTCATTACTAGCAAACTTCTTAAACATGGCTACATGGCAAAAATGATGTCAAAAGGTGAAATTCTAAAGTCAAGAAGTTGACATCGTTCATTTGAAAACGTTAATGAATGAATGAATAATTGAATTAACGAAGTTTAAATCATGAAGAAAAAATAAAAAGATAAAATTGTAAAAGATGAACTCCCTACTGTGTACTATATCTATAACATTTCTGAAGGGATCAAGCTGGTTTTTTACCATTGCAGGGAAAGCGGACATCCTGCAATAACAGATTGTACCCGTACGTTATTCCAGTATTTCAATACCGAAGCACTTTGGGGGACTGAAGTTTGTTTGAATAATAAGCTCGAATTTTACATCTGTGAGAAACCGTTTTTAGATGACGGGAATCACACAAAAGGTATATTTCATTGCTATTTTTACACTTGTTTTTGTGACAGGAACAAAATAAATGGTTATGATGATTTTCAGATTTATAATCATTTTTTTAATTTTAAGAAGGTTAGTTAGTAGTTATAATATCTTTGTCATAGATGTGATATTTGCAAATATTTCTGACTGTCGAGCAAGTCCATAAACATTGGGGTTTTTTTGTTTGTTTTTTTTTTGACTGCACGTTTTTTCTTTTGCAACGTTTACAATATATATATATATATATATATATATATATATATATATATATATATATATATATATAGTATATAATATAATATATATATATATATATAATATATATATATATATATACGGAAACAAATCTGGTGCAACTTAGCATATTATAAGGTACGACAAGATTTATTGTTTATGTCGTGTTAGAATCGAAATAATATATCCCAAACAGTGATTTTATAGCTCAATAACATCACTGTTTGGAGTTCGGATGGGAGGAAGTATATCACGAGGGCGTAGCCCGAGTGATATATTGATGCACATCCGAACGACAAACAGTGATGTTATCAAGCGATAAAATCACCGATTTGGATATATTATTTCGATTCTAACACGACATAAACAATAAATCTTGTCGTACCTTATAATATGCTAAGTTGCACCTGATTTGTTTCCGTACTTATTTTCAGCGCGTCGCATTATTAATGGTTACGTCACATGTATATAATGATCACGTCACAAGTCTAAATATAGAACGTCAACAGTGATTTTGTTGCATAATAATACACACTTTCGGTTCTTCTATGTTCAGTAGGGAAAAATGCGGGTCGTGTTAGAATACGTGATTAAATATTTTTTCATAACTTAGTGTTTATGAAACAGTCATAAATACAACTGAAAAGAAGATAAATTCATCGTTAAAAAATAAGATAAAACTATTGTATGGCAGCAAAAACAATAAGGCATATTTTGATGTTTGATATTTATTTTGATAACCTCCCCAAATCGTAAAATCATTATGTTTCAGACATGAATATCATTACGATTTTAAACAATATTTTTATATGTTCAGAAAAAGGGAATGCTGAATTGAAATAAAGTATCATATATATAATCAAGTTTCATACAGCTATGTAATAAAGTAAATAAATCAATTAAGAATACTTTTATTTTGAAACAATTATTTTACTATGGCCTTTATGTAACGTAATATAAGACATATTTGTAAATTCTGTTTCATCTGAAATGCTGAAAGATGACCTCCCCCCCTCCCCCGAATTTATTAGACACAACTGCATTATAGCAAAGTTAAATTGTAATGAAAACAAAGCAAAATCCATCTTTTTTGAGGTTAAAAAATACTAAAAACATAAAATTTGATTTTTTGAATCGTTTGGCTGAGACTCATATACAGAAAGATTTTTTGAGATTGTTGAGAAATAATAAGAAATAAACTGAAAATTGCAAATGGGCAACGCGTTTTGTCATTTTTCACACTAAGAATTATTATTCTGGAAAAAACGCCTCTGAAATTTTCCTCTCAAGTTATTGGTTTATACCTTCATCAAATAGAACATTAATATCGAAAAGTTATCTCCTACCTCATGCTAAAAAACCTCAGTGGAATCCATTTAATAAATATTGAACTAACAGTGGATCTTAGAAATCACCGATTTAAATCAAATTTGTTCATATATAACTGCAAGTGCCACAGTCATGGCGTGAATACCCCAGAATAACAATTTTTTTCAGAATTAACAGTGAATTAACAGTGGTCATTTAGAGCTCAAGGACAACCTCCCAGCCAAATCTGAGGGTAGTAAGCTAGTGCATTGCTTAGTTATGTATTCTACATGTTTTTAGTGGAAAAAGTCATTGTGACTTTTACCTTCCACTTACTGACCTCAAAACAAATTGACACTGCCACTCATTGCTTGAACATCCCCCAATGCATGCCGTCTTGCCTGGAGGTATTTAATGATGAATATATGAGAAAATAATTATATGCTTCAAATGACAAAATGCCAAAATCAATTCACTGTTGATAGGCATTCTTAAGCACATGAGCAAAAAAACTTTATGTTATAAAGCCCCAAGTGACCTTGACCTTTCATACAGTCAATTTAAAATTCATAGAGGTCATCTTCTCATAACCAACATCATTACTTATATAAAGACTGTTTACAAAGCATTTTAAGTAATTGAGCGGACAAAATTTTTCAACTAAAGGCCCTGTGACTTTGACTATTGATCCAGCGACTTCAAAATCAATAAGGGCCACTTAAATTTCAATATCAAGCTCAATGCCAAATATAAAGACTGTGGCTCAAAGGATTCTTAAGTTATTTCGCATACAAGCTTTTTTCGTCAAGGCCCTACTGGCCTTCACCTTTGACCTAGTGACTTCAAAATTAAATGGGTCATCTTCTAGTCATAATCAGCCTCAATACCAAATATGTAGACTGTTGACCAAAGCATTCTTAATCAATTCAGCAGACAACTTATTGCTCCTTTGACCTTAACCTCTGACCAAGTGACTTCAAAATCAAAAGGGGTCATCAAATGGTCATAACTAACCTCCATGCCAAATATAACGACTGTGGGTCAAATGGTTTTTAGGTTATATTGCGAACAAGTTTTTTTAAGTCAAGGTCCCTGTCACATTGACCTTTGACCCAGTGACGTCAAAATCAATATGGGTCATCTAATGGAAATGATTAACCGCCGTGCCAAATACGGAGACAGTGGGACAATGGATTCTCATCTCAAGTTATTTGGGGGACAATCTTTTTTACGTCAATGCAATTCTGCCTTTGACTTTTGACCTAGTGACCTCAAAATCAATAGGAGCCATTTACTTATCATAATCAACATCAATTCCCAATATGAAGTCTGTTGACCGAAGCATTCTTCACCAATTAAGCGGACAAGCTTTTTGAAGAAAGGACCACTGTGACTTTCAACTTTGACCAAGTGACATTAGAAGCCATATGTGTCATCTTATTTTCTTGCCCAACGTCAATGCTAAATATAAAGACTGTGGGTTTAAGGAATCTATAGTTTTTGTGCGGATAAGGCTTCTGTGACTTGACCTTTGACCCAGTGACCTAAAAATCAATACGATTCATTTATGAATCATGACTTATCTCCATGCCAAATATGAAGACTGCGGATCAAATTATTCTAAAGTTATTGGGTGGAATATTGTTTTTAGTCAAGACCCCTGTAACTCTTGACCTTTGACCAAGTGACCTCAAAAACAATACGGGGCATTAAATGGTCATTACTAACCTCCATGCTAAATATGAAAACTTTTGGTCAAATGATTCTTAAGTTATTGGGCGGACAAGCTTTTTAAGTCAAGGCCCCGGTGACCTCAAAATCAAGAGAGTCATCTACTAATCATGACGAATCTTCATATCAAATGTGAAGAATTTGGATCAGAGGACTCTTAAGTTATAAGGCGGATAAGTTTCTTTTTAGTCAAGGCCCCTGTAACTTTGACTAATGATCATCCATGCCAAAAATGAAAACTGTTGCTTAAAAGATTCTAAAATTATAAGGCGAATAAGCTTTTTAAGTCAAGGACATTGGGACCTTGACCTTTGACCTGGTGACCTCAAATTCATCTACTTATAATAGGCAAAACAAATAAAAGCCAATCAATTTTCAGGCTAAAATTATAGATTTGACCTTGAAGATCAGTGTCAACTTTATGTCAATGTAAATATCTTACAGTATATCTTAGAAAACGTCGTCACAATTTTTCCTTTTAGGTTGTAATAAATTATTTGGATTTGTTTTGAAAAAGGAACATAATAATTAGTTGAGTTGAGGGTCATGTGCATTTGAAAGTCAATGTCATACTTTAATTATTTCATTTGGCAATGCTTAAGTGTTGTTTTATCTTTGTATAAATCATTTCATATAAAACAATGGTTTGGTAAGTTGTATGAAATCCAATTAATTTGACTTTGAGATTCAAGATCACTTATATGAACACTTTGTTGGAATTTCTTTATTTGACACTTGCTTCCTTTAACTGTTGTTTAGCCTACAAATGAATCAAGTTCGTCTATTAATTACAAAAAATAATTTAAATAAGTTTGCAGTTGGCATTGACGGTCATTTCATAGCATTATAAATAACTACTTACATTCATTATTTGTTAATAACAAAGATGTAGCTTATTCTAGCAAAATGCTTTTTACTATATAAATGTCAGGATCAAGTGTGATTTGTTCTATTTTTATGTAATGTTCAACTGAAGGATTGTAGCTAATATCAAAATCCTCACAGACATTTTAACCTTACCATATTCCCTAAGATGATTAGCATTTCGCGTATTCTTCGAAGGGCATAAAGGCGATACAGAAAGAGTAGTTTTAATTATTATAAAACAATGCGATAAATAATTCGAGCAGTTTATAGGATAGTATTGTGATACCTTACCGATGAAAAGGCTAATATACGCAATTGAATTAAACTTTTTGCATGTATGCATTCAGTGTCTTTCAGTTGTATAAGAAAATATGAGGGCTATCTTTAATCAACATTAGAACGATGCAATTGCGCGAACCTTCAAACCAAACCAGTTTACCACCCTCTCCTCCACCCAAGCCTGTATAACTTCGTTGTGCGTGCAAGGAAAATAAAAATGAGTTTTGTTCTCAAACGAATCTATATACGGAGCCTCATAAGTGGCATTACACGCTCTTTTATTGTTTTCATATTTTTGTATCAATCAATTCGTTGGAACTAAATGTGAAAGTTAAGTGTTTACTCTTTAGACAAAAGTACATTTTCATGACGACCAAATTAAACAGTGTGTTATGTCAATACTTCTATATCAATATGATATACTTGTATTTGATCAGTTGAAGACGATCAAAGCTCTCTTTTATTTACAGCAGTTATTATAAAAACGTCTCAGCATCATCAAAGTTTGTATAGAGATATAATCTGACATTGTATTTGCCTTTATCTTGATACATTATAGTCTCTTAAAATATTTTAATGATATTTTCATTTAGATCACAATCTCTCACAAAATGCAAGTACGGATACAATGTTAAAATCTGATTTACCCCGCCGACACAATTCCGGGGCGTATTTCCGCTGTACAAATAGCAAAGAGTGGATATCTATGTTAGCTAAATGTGATGATGTCATTGATTGTATTGATGCTTCGGACGAAGTCAGGTGTTTGCATGGCAATAGTGGTAATTTGTTCTGTTCATTAGATTTCTTTTTAAAAATCTTTATTTTAATTTTGTGAATAATTAATCGCTCCATTATGGCGTTCATTTTAAGTGATATTTTAATACTTAGAAATAACGAAAATACTTCCTTAACATATACATTTTAATAATTAAGATAAGTTGGTTGTGCTAATAAAGTTGTTTTATCAATACAATTATTTGATTTGATCGTTTTGACTCAATACTGTTAACATATCCTTACTTCGTGATGACTTTTGTCCTTGTCTCCTTGTGGACGATACAATTGATAGATTGATGTAAACACAAAAAGGAATGATACAATTATATTTTTATTAACAAATTATAGTACCATATTTACATTTGTGTAGAATGTGACGAAGACGAGTTTTCTTGTGACAACGGAAATTGTATGAAACTGAGTCGTATGTGCGACTTTAAACCGGACTGTGTGGACGGCAAAGATGAATTGTGTGGTAAGCTTTAATGTTTCAAAGATTACTATAATTACATTTAAAGTTTGTTTGTCAATGAAATCGTTCTATTTTGTTTAAATGTTGCAAAAATGTACCATACGCTGTTACTCAACTGTATGTATTAAATTTATACATTTAATGAGCCGATTTAATGGGCTCCGCCTATTAACATGATGCACTCAATTCGAATGAGCGGCACTAACTGTAAGTCGGTTAAAGGTTATATACAGAGTTTAAAGAAACTCATTTTCTTGCTTCACTTCGTTCGCTCGAAAATTAGTTTCTTAAAACTCTGTATATAACTTATAACCTATACTTTATATATTTTACAATATAAATAAACTTTTTTGACTTTCCACAGAAGCCAAGTAAAATAATTTTATGTAATACATAGCGGGTTTTCATTTCGAAACAAGCATTGTTCACCAAGAGAGATATGAGGAATGAATGTCCAAAAAATGAGTGCCTCATCTGGATATATAAAATTGAATCCTTCATTGATTTCGATGAGAAAAATCAAGATTTTCACCCCTCCAATGCCATTTTTACACATTTGTCTGTGAAGACACTGGACAATTGTTTTACTTTAACAATAAAGTCACACGGTGGTACGTTCAGGGAGGATAGAATGTAAAAAAAAAACTAGTTTTACATAAAAATACACAGTAGAAGCCTTTTGAAATAACGTATTTTCATGTAGCATTTTGACATTGGCCATACCTGAAATATTCTTAAAATGTGAACTACTTTACTGATTTTTCTTAAAAAATATGAATCTGAATATCGAAACTTTTATCTGAAAGGAAAATATGTATTGCAATATTTACTGATATTTTCAAAGTCTGATAAAATCAAAACTTCACGGTTGAAGTATTTAATAATTATCATTTGATACAAAATAACAAAATACTTTTTGAAAACAAAAATATTGAAAATTAGAAATAAGCCCCTAATTTTGATTCATAATAGGATATATTGAACTTAACTATTGAAGAAAGATTACCCAACGTGTGATGATGAAACTGAGAGTTTTTTTGTGAAAATAGACAATGTATTATGATATGTTTTTATTAAAGAAAATAAGGTCAAAGAAATGTTTAATATGAGTGTTAGTACAGTCCCTGGGGACCTTTTGTGTGCAAAAAAGGTCCATGGATAAATGTTATACCAATGTAAAGCTAAATGTTTGAAGTTTACAAAAAATTTGGGTAGACATGTCAAATGATGGTACGTTTTGAGATGGCCGCCAAGATGGCCGCCAAATTATAGAAAAATTGCGAATACGCAATTTATATGATAAAATTAGTTCTTTTTTGTATTTATTTTGGTAAATGTGATGTTAAAACTTCACATCCTATTGAAGCAATATGAAAAAGTGTCCTTTTTCCATTTTCTTATGCATATACTCTTGTTTTCATAGAGAAATTTTGCTAAAAAAGCATGAAAAAGTATCAAAAATCGACTTTGGGCTGGCATTGTTTCCTATCAGTCGAGGCATAGTGGTGAAAATGAATATTTTTACCATATATTACAAAGACCTGATCAACAATTTACTAATTGTACCTTTATTTTTATTTTTATTGTGTAAGAGTGTGAATTCTGACATTCCTAAAGTGGGTGGGGTACACAAAAATTGAGTTCCTTTTTCTAGTGAATTGATATATAACGATTATTAAGACTAAGAATAACCAACAAGATTACATTTTGAAATGTTTTTTAAGTCTTAAATTTTTTTAAGGTAGATTTGCATTCTACCAACAACTTTAATTGGTTCTGTTGCCATGGCAACAAAGTGGTAAAATGAGAGAAACCCGGAAAAGTATGTGGCTTTCAGTTTTATCATTTCAAGCATGTTGTAAAAGTTAATGTCATGATTATACATTACAGAATTCAGAGTTGGATACATTTGAAACATAAAAAAGAATCATTTCAAATTTCAGTGCTACATTTACTTTCCATGAAAAAACACAAATTTGAATTAAAACATCAGTAACATTTTGCTGAACAGTTACTGTAACAATAAAAACGCTTAAAGTTTTAGAGGCAAAAGATAATAATGAAATCTACTCAGAGTTATATTGAAAAATAAAATTTATGCTTGATGTTTGGCCCGATTTGAGAAAAACGCTTTTCAACATTCTTCATTTATTGGTCATTAAATAATAATAATAATAAATAACAAATAAAGCAAAAAAATCCCACAGATCAAATGTGATAAGAAGGAAGAGACAATATGTCAATATGTTGTGATGAAGAACGTCTTCAAGATAATGTGCCATATGGATGCATCTGAAAAACCTGTCATCTTAATGCAATACAAGCCCAGCTGATAAATATTTTAACAGTTGGAGAAACATTGATAAAATCACCATTTTGTGTTAAAAATTTGACACTTTCTGCTATTCTAAAAAAATATAGAGCAGCATAAATTATAAATCTTGCTACGCAAAACAAATAGGTCATATTCCACCGTTGCCTCAAAATTCTTTATAAATTATTTTGTGACCTACAGGTCAGACCACCTAATCCTTTGTTATACGGTCAGTATGTCTAAAATCATCATCAACAAACTCCGGACTGTTCATCAAATGGCATCTTGTCTTATTACCAAATTTACTGTTACTGCAGCCTCAATTCGTTCTTTAGAAATATGTGACTTTTTAAGTAGATGGCGGTCTGTTATAAATCACGTTGAAAAGAATCTAATGGTATGTTTATATGCAAATAGTTTTACATAGTCATATCTAGATTTGTTTAATTGTTAAAATTTTCTTTCTTAATGTTTATAACTATGATATAAACGCATTTAAACATATTATATATATAAGAAAGGCACTCAATAAATTTGGTGTAATGATAGATTTTGCTTATGTTTTCGACCGTTTTTTACAAGTTATAAGAAAAATATGTGTTTGTAAAACTTTGGGAGCGACTTTTGTTCCACTCACACAAAAAAGTATGTAAATTGTCGTCACATAGTAATAAGCTATAACTGATATATAGGTAAGCATTCAAATAAAATCTCAAAGACATTGGTAATCATATTAACTGTTACAGTTTCGTTATTTTCTCACCATCAATAAATATCAATAAATCATGTGGAGTAACCCGCGGCTGAACGTATCCAAAATTCATATAAGCTTTCTGTTTTAAATAAGTCATTATAAATGTGCAGTCTTAAAACCATAGTTTCAATGTAATTGGAGATGAGGAAAAACAGCATTTCTCAAATTGTACGGTAGCATGTAATGCACATAACACTAGTGTGTTCCAAATTAAGATTAAGTTCAGGACGTATTTGAATTTGGAATCAGGATGAACATAATTATGACTTTGATTTCTTTATTTTACAAACAATTTTAATGTTTTCTTTATTTGAATAAGCCAAATTTTACTTTCTTATAGACTTCGTAATTCTGATTTGCCTTAAAAGATGACCAGAAAGTGTCAATATTATGAAATAATGCACGGAGGGAAACATATTAAGGTCTTCCACAGTAAAGCAGGAAAGTCGCCACAAAGCCTTTTAAAGTGTTGATGTGACGTAAAAATAGGCTATATTTGATAAAATTTGACAGAAATTTTGTTTTGTTGTTGTTTTTTGCACAAATCGGATTATTGTATATCTTAGTCACAGAAGTTAAAAATAGAACTGACAATGCGAAATGTTTTCAAATATTCCCAGAAATAAATAAAAAGATCTTGAGCTTTTATATGTATGGCTTTTTCAGATGGGACTAAACCAACATTGTTTATCACCTTCCGCGTAGCGGAAAGGGGATTATAGGAATGGCCTCCGTCTGTCAGTTCGTCCGTCCGTAACACTTTCGTGTCCGCTCCATAACTTTTTAACCCCTGAAATTTTTTTGAAATAACTTGGCACAAGTGATCACCATAATGAGACAATATGCAGAGCGCAATAATTGGGTTGCTACCCCCAAGGTCAAGGTCACACTTTAAGGTCAAATGTTAAAAGTCTTCATTTAATAATAAAAAGTCTACATTTCGTGTCCGCTCCATAACTTTTTTAACGCTGAAAAGTTTTGAAATAACTTGGCACAACGGATCACCATTATGACACGACGTGCAGTGCGCAATAATTGGGTTGCTACCCAAAAGGTCAAGGTCACACTTTAAGGTCAAATGTTAAAAAGTCCACATTTCATGTGGACTCCAACATTTTAACCGCTGATTTTTTTTTAAAAATATCTTGGCATAATTGATAATCAGTATAAGAACATGTGCAGAACGCAAAAATTGGGTTGCTACACCAAAGGTCAAGGTCAAATGTATACAAATCTACATTTCGTGTCCCCTCCATAACTTTTAAACCTGTGAATTTTTTTTAAATAGCTTGGCACAATTGATCGCCATTACGAGACGATGTGCAGATCGCAATAATTGAATTGCTACCCCAAAGGTCAGGGTCACACTTACAGTTCATATGTTAGAAAGTCTACATTTCGTGTCTGTCTCTAACTTTTAAACCTCTGAAATGTTTTTAAGATAACTTGGCAGAAATGATCAACATTATGACACCATTGGCAGAGCACAATAATCAAGTCACAACCCTAAAGGTCAGGGTCATACTCAATGGTCCAATGTAAAAACATCTTTTTTTCATGTCCGCTCTATAACTTATTGACAATTCAAAGGTTTTAAAAATACTTAGCACAAATGATTCCCACCACAACACAATCTACAGACCTCAACATCCAGGTTGCTGCAACCAATGTCAAGGTTATATGTTCTCCATAACTTTTTGACTTTATGCAAGATTTTAAATAACTTGGCACAAATAATCACCATCATGAGACTATGTGCTTATGATATGCATGACACAACATCAAGGTGGTTGGTAAAAGGTCAAGAAGTACACATTCATGTTCCTTGCGAAGCCCCGGAGTTAACTTTCTTTACACAGTGTAAATATATGAAAAACATGAAAATATTCTTCTCCATAACTGCAGGACCTAGTATAGAATACTATTAAATTTGCTTAAATTACGACCTTGTGGTCAAATTCATTTATGCCAGGGGTCATTTCATTTTAAATATAGGAAAAGCTAAAAAAAAAAACTTGTCCCAAACCGATGCCTATAGCTAATTATTTCTGTTGTAGCCTTGTATAGACCAGTACAAAATTTATTCAAATGAACATTTAACCCACCCCTAGGGACAGCTTATTTCATATGGAGACACAAAGGAAAACTTTTTAAAACCATACTTTTTTCCAAAACCAAATGCCCAGATCTTAGATTTTGGATTAAAAGCATTGTCAAAAAGACCAAATCTTGACAATCTGGTCAAAGTTGACCTAACCCCAGGAGTCATTTTACTTTGTGTTATAAAGAAAAGGCTTTGAAAACTTTCTTCTCCATAAATAAAATGCTTTGATTTTTAAGTGTGAAGCATTCATTCTATGACCATATCACTTTATGTCACGATATAACTACTAAGCTTGGTTAAGTCATGTTCCGTTTGATTATAATTACCTTTCCCACAGGTCACTTGATTTACATAGTCTAACTTATATATAAAATCCATTATAAAATCATTCCTTTAACCCTATTGTTTAGAGCATGTGAAATAATATCTAGAAGACTTTTACCATGTTTCTTCAAATCATGATAGGGCCGGGCCTGGGTTATACGCCAATTTCAACACTTCTTTGTTGATAGCTTGAAGGTCAGTTAAACTATCTGAATTTCATGGATAAATAACCAGAAGAGTAATAACCAATTTCTACTAAGCTACGGTACTAACTTTTTTGACAGACAAATGACCGTAAAACTCAATGTCCGAGATCAATTGTTGTCTGTAGAACAAGAGAAGCCGACAATCTCCGTAAAGTGCTAAGACTGCAGGCATCAAATAATGATCATGAGTCTGGATTAAAACAAGAGCCGGTTGAACCGGGTGATGCTCACTGACTAGGTTTTGGACACACGCCCGGCGACTGTATATGCTCCCCCCGAAATTTTTCGTGGAGCATAAAAATGGCCCTGCCTAGATACCGATTTTTATATAAAAAAACTTTTTGTCAGAAATCACAATGCAAGACCATTTGGTTGGACGAATTGTTTTGTGTTCTTCTTTGATTGTTCCAATCATGGCCCCACTGGTATAAGGTGACCTAAAATTTAAGACCTCGTGACCTACTTTCTTGTTTTTGAAGCTAAAGAAATTTGGATAACAGACACAATATGACATGCCAGCTGACCTTTATCTGTTCTAGTGAGCTCTTTGTTTTTTGATTGTAAAATTTCAGATGCAGAATTATACACTGAGATCAGTTGACATAGAATTTCATGTAATGCAAGTTAGAGTTTCATAATACGAGCTACAACCAAAAAGCTTGAACTCAACAATAAATTCGATTGTCATTAAAATTTGATATTGGTTGACCTAGAATTTGAACCTGTGACCTACTTATTTCTCGTTTTAGCTACAAAGTCTTAAATGTTTACCCTATGTATACAGTTTCAAACATTTGATAATGTTTATATACATTTCTACCTTAAGACTGCCTTTTACTTATTATTATCACCATTAATTATCCTTTCCAAATATAACAACATGCACATTTGACATGACCTTTTTCTATGTATAGCAGTTTGAAAAAAGCAAATGCATGATGCAAATTCTTGAAATAAAATTATTCATCTAATTTCAAAATATCGGCTGTTATCTGTGTTGATAATTTGCTAGAATTAAATGTGACTTCTTTTAATGTTACATTTTTTTTCAATTTGTTAACATGGCATTGTGCACAGATAATTTATCTTTAAGTTTCTGTCATTCTTATCAACATGCTTAAGATGCTAAAAGTTGAAAGTGTCATACGTTTCAGGTGTGTCTTTCATTTTACTTCTCCGTTGCCATGGCAACAGAACATGTTGAATATTGATAAACAAATTATCAGTCTAAGTTTCTTAATTATTTATAACTTTATGTACATCCTAAAGTGCAATACATGTTGACTATTCATAGTTTAAATTATCATAACAAACCAGTTAACAAAATACTGAAACTTAATTTTCGTTACCCCACCCACTTAAAGAATATCAGAATCCACATTCTTTTACAATAAAGATAAAAAATAAGGGTGATATTAGTATGATATTGTTCAAGTCTTTGTAGTATATGGTAAAAATACTCATTTACATCGCTATGCCTTAGCTGGTAGGAAAAAATGTCAGCCCCATATCAATTTTTGATAATTTTTTCATGCATTTTTTAGCAAATTTATCTATGAAATTCAGAGAATATGAAATAATAATAGAAATGCCTCCATTTTCATATTGCTCCAATAGGATGTGAAGTTCTTACATCATTTATACTAAAATAAATACAAAAAAAACCTAATTTTATCAGATAAAATGCGTATTAGCCATTTTTCAATAATTTGGCGGCCATCTTGGCGGCCATCTTGGATTTCTCAAAACGTACCATGATTTGACATGTCTACCCAAAATTTTTGTAAACTTCAAACATTTATCTTTACATTGGTATAACATTTATCCATGGACCTTTTTTGCACACAAAAGGTCCTCAGGGACTGTACTATGTAGAGTAATAATTTTCTTACATCTTTAAAATATTTTGAGTAGAAACAACCATTTTGCTGCGTGATTTGTTAGCTTAGTGCTATAATGTGTTACTTTACAATAACCGATATGAAAATTGTTTTTATATACACCATATGCCAGGAATACAACGATTCTTTATTTATGTATAAAATAAAGAACATAGTAATCCCTAAAAAAAGTTCAAAAACCTTTAAACGGCCTACTCTGATCTTATAAAAACATTTGTATAAGTTTCCAAAATATGTAATGTTAAGTGAGCGAAAGACTTTGCTATGAAACACATGTGAAAGAACCATACTTTTATGGATTTACCACCAATATAACACATTATGTGTATATCCCTTAATAATTTTGTTTTCCTCGTAATTTTCCAATCATTTATTGAGAGCACACTCTAGATGAATTCATATTTGAATGATATTCGTGTCGACACTTAAAAAAGTGCTAGAAGATAACAGCGTTTTGTATTGTTGGTCACAAATATAATCAAAATTATAGTATATATCCAAATATTTACTCGTATATCCAAACACATATACTGTGTTAATATATACAATATATAACACACGGTTCAAAGTTTTTATTTTGCTGTTAAATTGATTGTTTACGAACTCTTTAAGATTACCCAAAGTGTGATGATGAAAATGAGTTTCGTTGTAAAAATAGACAATGTATTCAAGAAGTCAATCGATGTAACGCTGAATACGACTGTTTCGACAAAAGTGATGAAACAGATTGTGGTTTGTATTTGACTTTGTATAACAGTGTAAAACAACTTTAAATATAAAATATTTTATTTTGATGTATTCTCACGTTCAGTTTGTAACGTTCATTTTGGTATCTAAAACAATATCTCTTTTTAATACTTGTAATTAACTATAGTCTGATGTCAGCAAAAACAATAACGATATAGAAATTCCAAAATGCTGCTTTATTATGAAACGACATTTGAAAAAAAAAGTAAGTCGCAACAATACCAACGAAAATGAGCTTCAAAAAAAAATCACTGGCTTTCCGATTTATTCTCTCTATGCTATCGCCATATCAGCGTTGTTAGCTGTGTGGAGCCCCTAAAATGTCGCCCTGTTTATTCAAAGGTGTTATATCACAACTCATTTAAGGTTGTTTAGTACGAAATTATTGTTGTGTTATTGTTGTGTTTGTGGTACTTTTAGTTCTTTCGATTTGGCTTTTTCCAGGCGGCTGGTTAATGTTTCTCTTACTTGAAATGCTGTATAATCACACATAGGATATGTGTTCTGTTATTAAAATTGGTCTTTCTACATCTTATCAGTGATATGCAGACTTCATAACCTCATCAGCGACATCAGTAAGGTTTTTAGTATTTGCAACGTAGACAATAATATTTTGGACAAACTAGCAAAAGTTAAATTAAAGTTAAATTCATTTTCTACCACGTTTAAATTGCATTTCGTACAGAGTCTGTTTTCTCGTGCTCCTTTTTCGTATCGACCCGTTTCTATTGCTAGAATATTGGATGAAAATCTAAATTTTGTAAGTGATATTCGAAATTTTTAATGTTTACTTTATTAACATATTCTTTCGTTTCGACCGATCCCCTAGTTACCTGTGTTTTAACATAAGTTTTTCTGAGGAATTTGCAATGAATCATTTTTATTTTTTCTCCTTCTTGATATCAAAAACCTTCAGCACCTTAGTTTAAAACTGAACGTACCATACTATCAAAAAGTTTAAAATTTTCTCCAATGGATAATTTTAATTGTTACAACACTGTAAATAAATTATGCAATGAAAACGAAGCATGCTGAGCTAATTTCTTTTGTGTTCTATTCCAATGACCATTTTAGAATAAATTCATCCGAAGTTTGTTAAACAATTTTTCATTTTCTAAAACTATGGCATTATATATGAAATTATAACTTGTATGTCTGCCTTTTTCGAATATCATTATTTTCGTTTTATAAGTATTTAAGTCCTCATATACTTGTAAATCATTTAACATAGATTGGAGTGCCATAGGCGTATGTGCCAAAAAAAACAGCCCAATCTGCGAAAAGTAGCAGAAATATTTTGGCGTCGTCAATCCTAAAGAGGCCGTTTATATTGGAATAAATATTTTCTAATATATCATTCGCGAAGTATGAAGATAATAATAATAACTGGGGACCCCTTGTTTTGCCCTAATATTTGACTTAAAAACGGCGAGACTGTATTGTTATATCTAATTGCAGCTTTAACGGATGCGTGTATACACCTTTTAGCCGAAACAAATTTTGAATTTACATAATCTGACAAATAAATGTTCGAGCAAATTTGCCGAAACATATTTCGAAGTTAAGAAAACATCAATATAATGTATTCCTTCTGCTAGTGTCTTCATGATTATCGAGTGTAAAAAGCAAAATTCAATCCGTCGTGAATTTCCTTTCTGGAAACCAAATTGATTGTCAATAATTTTACAATGTTTAACACACCACTCGGTTTAGCGATTTGAGAACAAATGTTTGCAAGGGCTATCCCCTGGTAAATTTTAAGGATTTTTCCCCATTTTCCCCTTTTAAAAAATTTTTGTTTCCCGAATACCGCCCCACCAATTTTTGAGACACATTGTTCCCAATTTTCGAAAATTCTATTTTTTATATTTTTTTATTTAATTTTTTTTTTATTTTTTATTTTTTTTGGAGTAAAAAAGTCTCTTTTACTTCTGAGGTTGATAAAGCGCATTCTAAATCATTTGTTGGATTTGTAACTTGATATCTGTTATTCGTTTCCTCGCTATATTAATTTTTAAAATGGGTAAATAAATCAGGAATATTTAAATAATTGGCATGTACGGGATTCTTTGCATATTGTCTCTAAACCCTTTTCCAGAATTTACTTGGATGCGGCTTTCTTGATTTTCTAAGTGTTTTGGCTTTGCCCGATTTATGTATTTTCGCTTTTTCTTATGTTTGATTATACATATTTTTAAAGGAAATATTGTTGTCTTAGGTAAGCATTGGTTTTATCACATCTATGATCACATCTATTTACAAATGCATATACATGTATTAAAAATGATTATCACGTTTTATTTTTCATTACAAGACTCCTGTAACAAATCGTTTCTTTGTGCTGCTGATTACAAATGTATTCCATATCGACTGACGTGTGATCGCTATCCTGACTGTAGGGATGGAGGTGACGAAAGAATTTGCCAAAGTAATCCTCCAAATTCTGATGATTTCAGCAGTGAATACCTTTCGTCAAAAGTTGAAGGTAAGCAACATTCTTTAATAAATGCATTGAATTATCAATACATGTATTATATTTTAGTCTTAAGAACAAAGGGAGTGCCGAAAATATGCATGTATGTTTCAAGTGACATTATGTCCATCCAAGTGAAAATGTTCAGTGTACAGGTTAAATAAATTGACTTTTTGTCATAATTGCCTATTTTGGCATGAACAAAAATCATAACGGACATTTCTATAAATACTGTTCGGAATGTAAAGATAACGCTCAATTCTTAAAAGATTTGGGCAGTTATCTTATACTTAACTTTTTAATTCATGAGCATATTGAGAAAAATGGCGTTTTCCTTGAAAAACCTCCTGTTTCAAGTTCAAACTGTTATGAAACTATAAAAAGCTTCAATACAAATAAAACTTGACACAACTGTTATCTAGACCATTACCGCTGTCACAGCATGCTCAATCGTAAATTTCATGTTAGCATGGCAACGGCGGACGTCTCAAAATTGCCACAAATCACCATTTTGCATTATTTTTTTCCCATCAAAACTGAAATCAAAGTTCTTCGACTTCTAAATAACTTGAGATAGAGTAAAAGGCTTTTCAGCGTCGGTTACTAGTTACCCTCAGATCGACCTGAGACCATTTTAGTTTGTCACATGTCCAAAATTTTCTTGGCGATGAGGGGAACTACAGCCCTCTTCAAAGCCACCAAACAGAAGGGGGCACATCCCCTTCTGACAACCCCCTGATGTACAATTTTGATGGGGGCGGCGCAGAAAAAGTGGTCACTTTCTCAAACGCAAAACAATGTTTGGAGCATTTTTTCACTGTTTGAGGTCTCAAAAGGGGGGGGGCAAAAGCCATCAAAACACGTCTATATGAGGGAAAGGGTTAACAAAAAATGGTGAAAATCCTTTGAATTACCCAAAATCTAGTTTTTTCATGTTAACAAGTGCCCTTACACTTAATTTTTGTCAATAATTGTTGGTTTTTTTACCTTTTTTATTTTATTTTTTAATTAACAAAAAAAGATGAAATTCCTTGGAATTACCCAAAAACTAGTTTTTCCATGTTAACACGTGCCCTTACACCTAATTTTGGGGAAAACATGTTGTTTCTTGACATTCTTTATTTTTTAATTGACAAAATATAAAAAAAAAATCATTGGAATTTCGCAAAAACTAGTTTTTCCATGTAAACTAGTACTTTTGCACAATTTTTTTTTTGGAAAATTTTTGTTATTTGACATTTTTTAAATTAAACTTTTACCCCATGAGCATGTTGTGAAAAATGGCTGTTTTCATTGAAAAGCCTCCTGTTATAAGTTAAAACACCTATGAAACTATGAAAAATGCTTCAATACTGATGAAGCTATTACAAATGTTGACTTGCCATAGCCTCTGTAACAGCATAATCAATCGTAAATTTCCGGTTACCGTGGTAACGGGGGACGTGTCAAATTTGGCAAAAATCAATTTTTTGCATTGTTTTTATTTCATCAAATCTGATTTAAATGTGCTGCAACTTCACAATAAATTGTTAATGTTATGTTTTAAACCTTCTTTTTTCTTAAATGAGAATTATTCCTTCAGGTGTTTTAAATAGAGATGGGATTCAAAAGAAAACAAATTTACAGTGAGCAAAATGCATTAACTCTGCGTTTTAACCT